TTACAGCGTTGAATAGTTAGTTTGCTCTTAAGCGCCTTGAGGGCACTAAGAGTGAACCTACTGAAACTTGTTAGTAGGGGTCAATACAAGAGCAAGATCAACGGTGCAATCAGGCATCGAGATCTATTAAGATGTGTTAATCGAACTGAATTTGTGATCACTGCAACGACAGTAAAGTAATGGGGGTGTGGTTTGGGGGACAGACGGGGGCTGAAGCGGACACAACATACCTAATCAAGGCTACCCTCAGCCAGGGTAGAGCAGCGGACTATCATTCAGAATCACGAATAAGAAAGGCGGCCCGTGGAAGACAATCTGGGTGTCGATGTCCTCGGATGAACACCGTCCAAATTGACCTAAGGTCTGGCAATGGGTTTGTGGCGTCAATTCCAAATGCCTGGTGATTGTGCCAGAAATAGCATAAATAGCATGGGCACCTGTACTTTGTTCTCAATTGGACGCCGGAGAGGAATGCCACCTCGTCACAGGCTATTTTTCGATGTCCCTTGGGCAATTTCAAAAGATTCCATGCTCTCACGCTTGAGAGTCCATATTTGGAGAAAACATACCCCAAGGATCATTCCTCGTCGTGAAAAATCAAGAAAAAAGAATCTCAGGATCTGTAGACTTGAATGTATTTGTCCTGGAGTACTTTGTACCAACTTTAGCAGTTTCTGTTCCTGTCAACTTCAGTTTATGTGCTTGGGGATATATATAGCCCCCTTCTGCATTGTAATCTCTCTAGGAATGACATCCAACACATCTTCAGTGCCCCATGTTGCCTACGGATGGGATTTAGCATCCACTTCATCGGGAGTCACGCCATCGATGAACTCGACGTGGAAATTCTGAGCGATGAGCCCGTAATGATACTGTCCCGCTTGCCAGGCCGGCCGACAATGGTAATGGCGAATACTTTTAGCACCTCAGTAATCATGAGTTGAAAGATCTTCGGGTGAGGCTTGAAGTGGAACCATTACCCCAAGGGTTCCATTTCTGATGGCATTAAAGTTGTCTCGATCGTAGCTCGAAGAGGATGAAAGTGACCCCAAACAAGACCATAAGCAGTGGCACAAGGCGTACTTGACATACAGAAAACACCATACTCAGTTGTCGTCCGGATGGAGACAACATAGCGCGTTGGTTATCGTGAGCACGCAGGAGGCGACTGTGCTTTCTTAATATCTCCAGAGCTGCCGGCCAGAGATATGTGGACTGGTTTTCGACGGAGTAGGGAGAGCCTAGCCTCGACAACATCGGTCTTGGGCATGGTTGGTCGATCTGTTCGTTAGATTCCCACTGTGACGACCTTGTCTAGCGACATGAACCCACTGGCTTTTGAGGACACATGAGTGGCCTCGAGTGATGGTTGACGCCCTGTTTCATGCATGTGCTAGCATCAGTATTAATAGATGAACTCTTGTTACTACTGGATTTGATGTGCACGCGCGCTAGCTTTGTTACGGGGCCACGTGGGTCCAATGATCGGTCCGGAACTGCCGCTGGCCCCGCCCTCGAAGAATTGCAGTCCCTGTTCAAAGTGCTACGCTTCTCATGTTCCGACCGTCTCGCACTGCAACTAATTTCATCCCACATCCACGATGTTGAAGGTGTCCGATGATCTCCAAATTCATTAAATAACCCAATAATTCACACGAAAGTTAATTGATTAGCACGCGAATTCGATGTGCTGTACCAGCGGTTATGCGCACGCCCTCCACAGCCGCAATGCCTTCAGCGATCGACCACCACAGGGCCAGTCACTTGACTCTACTCAGGAGAAAGTGATGGAATCACCTCCTTGGTAGCGTCGGTTTAGCTTAGAGCGTCATACAGACTTGCAAGGCAGCCACCCAAGGTCTAATAATGCGGGAACCAGGACCCACAAGAGCTCGGAGATAACTGGATTTATCACCTTTTGTCAAGACTCCCTGCGCAGCTCAAAGCTCTCACTTGTCGTACGATTGAAGGAGAGCGTTATCATGCCGATTATCTTGGTCTCTCTAAGCAGCTTTTCGATCAACTCAAGCCGAATATCGCGACTAGGGGGGGTTCGTCCGATGAATCATTATCTTTTGGATGAAAATGGCTTTCGTGTCCTAGACGATCAGCAGAATCTACGACAAAAGGATCTGGTAAAGGGGTCGCTGTGGTTTAATCTGTTGCCGAAAATGGCGACAAACCACTTCCGTCCGCTGTCAAGGGCAAAACGCACCTTGAATGGTGTTACCGTGAAACCAATATCCCGCTCGAAGATCGAATCGCCAATTCCAGGACGGGGTAGACAAATGACGAGTTTGGTCTAGATTCGATCAAATTCTTCAACAAAGATGCTAAAAAAAAGGTGCGCAGGAAGGAAAGGACAACTGTTCTTCTTCGGTTATGGGTCGTACCTTCGAGTTTCTCAGCTTCTGCAAAAGCAACCATTGCCTCACAAACAGGCATTAGGTCCTGCAGGTGCGAATCGACGAAGGTCTCATCGTGAAGAGTAGAACATTATGCGTGATGTCAAGCGCAGAACGTGCTACAAAATGTAGACCGGAGCCTACCATCTCTTTAGTCGATTCGAATGAGGAGACCAAGCTTCCAGATGGCACAGAATTGGAAGAGGATGGATATTACCTGTCGTTTCGGGAATATTTTCAAAGACTTGTGAAGATGAAGTATCGTTGGCACCTCGAGAGATGATGCCTGAGGATCTCTTTGTCTCTTCTGAAAATTTGTGCCTGTGATCATCTTGGGACTTTGCAAGTCCCAAAAGGGATTGAGGAAGCAAGGTGGAACCTTCTTCATGATGTGCCTGACTCAGGAACGAAGTTATATGTAGTAGCCTCCCCGTAGAAGACTTCCTATCAGCAAGAATTAGTCTCGGAGTATGCAATACAAGGTGTCCTTCCCATTGCTACTGTTCTACTCGCTTGACTAACAAGCACTGGCCGGGAAACTAGCGTTTTACGCCAGGAGTATTGCTTCCGGATTCTCCGCGTTCCCAGGCCTGGTTAAACTAGTATCCCAACTTCCCACTGCGTGCTGAGTCTGGCACCACAGAAAGAGAGGCCCCAGCGGCACTTGGACGCATTTGAAAACCGAGGGACTTTCGATCGAAATTTGAAAAGCCTTAGCGACTTGCCACGGGAACGTAAGAAGAGCGCTTCAACGAAGTTCATCAACTGAAGATCTAGGAGCATAGAAAGCTACACTATTTGGTGAGATAGACCGGTTGGCCCTCAGAGTACAACCAGCCGGCCCCCGAAGGGGCATTGAATAACACTCAAGACGCTATTGCGAAACACAAGAAACAAGATAAGAGCAATTTTGTTTGAAGTTGCAAGACAAAACTCCTACTAATCTTCCTGCCGAAACTTCGTTTGTTGACTAATTTCACATATTTTTCGTGTGCTCCGGCACGCCTAACGACATCGCGTAATTCGCCACGAAGACTACGGCAGTACAACCATCGTCGCAACCACCCTCCCTTGAAATTCTTTAAGTCTGCAATATCTTGTAGGCATGTCACCCGACCGTGGTCATCCATGCCTTTTCCAGGGAGATCTTCGGTCAAGTGGAGCAGAGGGAACTGGATGAAGTGGAAGATAGTACGGAGTATGGACGCCAACCAAATTCCCGAGCTCATACCAAGTATCTGGTGCGATTGGTACGACAGGGTCTAACTCCCCCCTCTGGTACTAGATGGTTGGGTCTGAAATACAAAGATGCTGAGGGGTTGCGTAGTCGGGGCTCTAGGTTCATTTGGTTTGTGCGAACATAGTCAGCACCCTGATCGGGTTCTCGGTATCGATCATGTTGGGGATTTCAGGGTGTTCAGGGTGTGTGCCCAATGCCCTGCATTTTGTGATGCAGCTGGTTAGGGTTGGGAAGAGGGGTTGTGAGTAGCACAGGATACGGAGTGAAGTGAGACAGGTGAGCTCTTGAAGAGTCTAGATGCCAAGGACCTTTACGGAGTAAATGGATCGGAGTACTCCGGATGTTCGCATGGGAAAATGAGTTCGGCCCTCTCCAACTTAAAAAAAAACTAAAAGAAAACTAAAAAAAAATCCCCCCAAAAAATTAAAAACGGGTTGAAAAACTCAGACCAAGTCCAGGCTGTTGGCAGTGGAGACTGAAAATTGTTTACTTCGCACAAATAATACACATGCAAAACATGCCATCCCAGCTGGATTGGCTTAAAGGTGTTCTTTGTCTTACGCATTGTCCAATCACATCGGGATTTGCACCCTCGGGCCCCGATACATGTCAGACAGCGAACAGACAAGCTGCAGTACTCTGATCAATTTTCCCCTGGGGTGCATCATCACCTTGTGCGAGACACACGTCATTTGCACGGGGACTTGACAGTCAGATGCGATGAAATCTCAATACAAAAGATGAAAAAGAGCGGATATGGATTCCCCCAAAGGACCGTGGAAAAGAAAGAAAATGTTTGCTGGCTCTGATAGGTCAACCAGCCAGGCACGAGAGGCAAAAATGTGTGGGTCCAGTAGGATCGTTGGATCGGCTGAAGCAGCCGTCAGTCTATCCCCAGAGGGGATTAGGGCCAGGAGAAAAGTGACCTTTGTGGCACACAAGCCCCTGGGCGTTTCTTTTTTTTTCCCAATGAGAATCTACCGGGACATCCGGCTCGGGTACCTCGAAGGTGCGATTGCGATAATCCCATCGTTGTAAATGTAGGATATTAACTTGGAGCACAATAGTCCGTGTAGGGAAAAAGATGTGAGTTGTCCAATGGATCGTGGCTTGATTTGATCCATGGGTTTGGTGGATAAGTGGGTCCTGGGAACCATCAAAGTGGGTCAATTTTCCTCTTTGGCTTGCCTGTCGTAATCTTATAAAGTCGAGACTCTTTCCCCTCTTCCTTCTCTTACAGTCCATTCCTTCCTACTCACGTTCCTTTCGAGTACCCAACCTTCCTGCTGTGCAGTTGACCAATCATTTGAACACCACACACTCCTTCGAGTCAATTTATTCCGATTCATTTACAAATGGCTCCCATCACCAAGACTCTCGCCCTTGCTGGCGCTTTCTTTGCCTTGACTGGCTACTCAGCTCCCGTCGCCAAACGCGCCGTCGTTTGGGAGACTGTCACTGATATCGTCTGGACCACCGTCGATGTCACCACTACCGTCTACCCTCAGACCACTCAGACCACTACTGTCGTCCCTGTGGTCGCCAGCGCCGTCCCTACCACTACCGCTGCGCCCTTCGTTGAGGCCTCTACCACGGAGGCGGAGAAGGCTGCGCCTGCCTTCGCCTCCTCCACCACGACCTCTTCCACGACCTCCTTCTCAACTTCTAGCACCACCTCCTTCACTCCTATCCCCAGCACCATCTCGACCACTACCGCTGCCGCTGTCCCTTCTGTTGAGGCTCCTATCAAGGAGAAGGCTGTGTCTACCACCACCTCCTCCACCACCACCTCCTCCTCCACCACCACCTCCTCCACCACCACTGTTGCTCCCACTGCTCCCGCTGCTCCCGCCGTAGAGACCGAGACTTCTTCCGCTCCCGCTCCCGTCACAGAGTCTCAGACCTCTTCCACTGCTGCCCCTGCTGCTGCCCCTGCTGCTACCCGTTCCGCTACCACCGAGACTACCAGCAGCGGCAGCACCGGCGTTTGCTCCGAGAGCTCCCCTTGCGACGGTGACATCACCTTTTACGACACTGCCACCACTGTTACCAACCCCAGCTCCTGCGGCACCACTAACGACGGTACCGTCGAGAACGTTCTAGCCCTACCCCACGGTATCATGACCGACAGTGACTGCGGCAAGACCGTCACCATCACATACAAGGGCCAGACTGCCACTGGTATCGTGGTCGACAAGTGCATGGGTTGCGACAACGAATCCGTTGATCTGTCCCGTCATCTCTTCGGCGAGCTGGCCCCCATGGACAAGGGCCGTGTCGCTGGTGTCAAGTGGTACATCAACTAAACGCTGCGTCGATCGCGCGTCAGTGTTGATGACCATGATTATGAAAACGAACAGCGAACACATCTCTGGTAGATTGCGCGAGCGGATATGGTCTTGACGACCTTTCCCTCCTTACCCCCCCCCTTCTCCCCCTTTCCCACTTCTCTTTCACAACTCTTCTTCTTTCCCAGTCTCTCTGAGAACTCAATCACTTATGTCTCAGAGAGACCGGGCCTTTTTTTTACTCTTCGTCCACTCTCTTGGCCCTGGATCTTTTTACCATTTCGTGTGTCCCTAGCGGACCGCATTCACATTTTACCCAAATTTTTTTTTATGTTCATAGACTTTTCTTCTCTTCGGAGCCTTCTTGCGCAATCCTACCTATGATTGACCCTACTTGGCCAATAGACAAGACATATGCTTACGATCCCCGCGCGCATGCTGACAAGCTATGGACGCTTTGAGTCTCTTGATGAGATCTCGAACTTGAAATTGCGACCGGACAATTTTGATCACTATGATCGTGCTCTTAAAAGAAGGAACCCGTACTCCCCCCAAAAATTAGCCTATGGGCAAATTACAGGAGACGGATGATTGAATGAAATACGTTCGTTTGACTCGTTTTTTTGCTCCAGTAGTCTGCCGAGTATTCGTAGTTGCATCCCGGTATTAGTTTCGAGAACTGCTTAACTGTTGCACTTCGGAGTAATGTAGTCCTTTTCAGCTTCGGAGACTATCCCATCCCATGTTGGCCCAAAATGGGAATTTGAACTACAACAACGCAAGGCTAGTTGGCAATATTGGTCCACGCTGAGACAACTCCACCTCCTGTATGGCAGGTCTCTCTTTCCAGCCAAGTCGGGATATGCATATAGAGTTCTATCGCAAAATTGCCCGGTGTGTTAAAATGGGATCTGCTGAGCACAAAGCGCTCCGGCGATCTCTGTCTTTCCTGTCTGAAATTTCGCACTACACCCAATCACACATCAGATAATCCAGCTCAATTGAAAACCATTCCCTTCCTCAACGGGCCACTTTCATCAATTAAAACCTCCATCTGCGTCCCAGGAATAAGGTACTTGGGCGGCGATGGACTAGCGCTGACCCCTAAGAAAACTAGTTAGCTCAACCAATTCCAACCCATTCAAAACCAAACCCAAAAGTTGACATGAGGAAATTTACAATGAGAACAGTATGCGTAAGAGAATCATTGCATTCAGTGGTTTCGTACGACCATATTAACATCTCAACAACACCCTCTCGCAATCCACACATCAAGTCAAAACGTGAGGATCACCGCTTCTGACAATATACACTTCTCCAGCGAGAACTGCACATCCAACCACCATTGAGATAGCAATGATGGGAAGGTTTACGCGGGCAAATTCCAGACTGCCGACACGGATGTGCTTTCTCGCCAAGATATCCCGCCACAGGAGCCCAGCCAGCGAAGCACTAAACGCCGTGCTGAACGCGCCATAATTCACTCCAAGTGCCATACTATAGATAGTGGCCCACCATGTGCGATCGCTGATGGGAATCCCGCTAATTTGGTGGATTTTTTGCCATGCTTGGATTACGCGCGAGAGGAGAATCGTGGTGCCAATGTTTGTGCCGGCGAACTGGGAATTAAAAGATGGCGAGTTAGTAGTGCGTTGGAAGGGGAGTAGAGAAGTGGAAAAGTGGTGGTCCAACGGTCAGCGGAGTCAACACTCACATTGCACAGAATCACAGACAGGAATCCCATTCCACCGATGCTGCCTATTGTCCCGGTCTTTCCTACCCAGTGGTCCCATCCGTACGCGAACACCGGCACCCAGCCCTTGGTGACAAGTGCCTGCACCAGGATAAACATCGAGAAAGCGAAGGGGACCAGTGCGAAAGGCATGTGGGATACTACGACCGTCACGGTGGGGAATGTCTCCTGCGACCAGCCATAGACATCGCCAGCGAGCGAGACCAACGAGCGTGGGACGTTGTCCTGACGGTCCGGAAATCCCCGCTTCTCGTCCAGTATCATCGTCTCGGTGGTTTGTCTCGAGTCTAGGGCCCCGGGAGAAGTTGCGCGAGCTCGATTTTTGCTGTTCGTTGCAACAACACGGCGTGGCTGTAGTTCCGGGAACTTTCCCTTGTCGATGACCACGGAGTTGGAAGATTGAATTCCGCATTCTGGGTAGGGATTTTTGCAGGCGATATCACTCTTGGTGCCCTCAAGCGGGACATCATCATCTCTACGCTCATTGCGGCGGTGCAGGTCTGAGCCATCGTATGTCTCAGACTGGTGTAACCCCAAAGTCTCTGGATGCACTTTTTCTGCGAGCGCTTGCTGCTCATCTCGCTTACGCGTTACTCGCTCTGTCCGTGCATCTTCAATATCCCGTCGACCCTTCGCGGCAATTTCACGGGTTTCGTGGCGATGGAGCCATCCAAATACGAGATCCCAGCAGAACATCACAAAGGCAGCGGGCAATGTAACCCAAAAAACGGGATGCTCTTTGCCTGATGCATTGATTGCCAGGAGGGTGATGAGCGTGGCGGCCATGATGAACCCCCCGAAAGATGCACCCTTCTTGTCTAAGAATGGGTTCATGATCTCTTCTAGGGATAGTTGCTTTCCCTCCTTATCGTCGGCTTCCTCTTGCTCTTCAGTTGTTCCTCTGGCATGAGGGATGTTGGGGTTTACGGGTGCTTTCTTCTTCTGGGCCTCAGAGAGCTCATGCATTGTGATGGAGAAAGGAATGAGGGATTCGTCGGCAAAAATGATGTAGAGCAGGAACGGGAAAAGAATGATTGCCGTTACCAGGACTGGAACGATCATGTTTGCGGTGTAGACAATGAACTTGATCTTAAAGGCGCCAGCTAGGACCAAGTTGGTGGGGTTGGAGGAGACAAGAATTGCGGAGGCGATATTAGCTATGGCAAATTGGCTGTGGATCCAGGCTCTGGGGTGGACGATATTGCTTGACACACGGGTCATGTATGCGAGGAATGCTGTACCAGATAGGATAATCGGGTCGTTTCCGATGAAGCTACCGAGACCGAAAAAGAAGACAAACAGGTAGAAGAATAGTCGGTGGCCGACCTTGCCTGCCTTTTGAAGGACCTTGAAGGCCAGGTATCGGATGAGGCCAGAGGCGTCAATTGAGATGGCGATGTAGGCGAGGGTGAGGAAGAAGACCATGATATCAATGGGATTTATATTGTCTGCCCCGACTATTCCATCATGGACCTCTTTTCGGCCAATAGCCAAAATCGCGAGAAGGAAGAGATCCGCTATCAAAGGAGCCGTGATAAAGTTCAATGGAAACCAAAATTTCACGAAAACGGGTTGCTTGTCATTGTGTCGAGGGTGAGTCCGGTGAGGTATTATGCGTGTGGCACTCAAAAAATTCAACAGCCCGGTCGTGATCCACCGAGGTACATAAAGTGGGATGTGAAATGGAAACAGGACAATGATATCTGTACCGCAACAAGGTCAGTATCAATCTCCCATTTAAGGTCTAGCCACACTTACTAGTAATGACAAAAATTATGAGGGTAATGATTGATCGCCAGCTTCTGATTTTCGATGTATCGAGTTCATCGTCCATCTTCAATATTTGCATCACTTTCTAGGGTTCCCTTCCTGAACAGGCAATGGGTAATAGCTGCGATCATCAGGCACGTAGTCAACCTGTCGTGCTTCTGCCGTAGAGTCAGGCTTGATAACAAAATACCGGAATGTGAACAAGAGAAATTTGGATTGGAAGATCCGACTCTTATATTTCTGGTAAATTCATTCTCTTCGGGCAAGAATCCTGCAACAAATGTAACGATCTTGTTGTCAAATCGAGACTGGAGAACAAATTGTCCGCGGGTTATTTCTTTTCACTGTGCTTGAACGCCGAGGAAGCCAAAAAAAAAAAATTAGTCACGAATGTGGGAGACGCAAGTTGAACTACTCCCTCATAATCACAAGATCAAATTAATGTGACCTAGGCCGGGGACAGAAACAGGATCGTAATTGCCAATGAACCTGTCAAGGGATGTGGAGTAACTCCGTGCTGGAAGTGGATTTGTGGATTTGAAAAGCGTTTAAAAGCCGGGCGAAGTAGTTCAGTTCCCTATTAATCTTGTGAGGGCAATCCTGAGAGCCGTGATAGGACCGAGAGAAAGTGTCGCGCCCAAGGGTCTGAGATCTGAACCTCAAAGCGATGAAAACAGAGTAAGACATGCATGGGAGATTTCTGATCCAAAATGGCCCATCATCGACCCTGAAACCCCGCACTGTCAAGTCAGAATGTGTTGCCCACCCCGTGCTTCGACCATCAGTCCTAACCATTTTACCGTTCTCATGACTTTCGACTTCTCCTTACATCACAGATCCGCTTGCTCATTGGAATGCTCAACCTGAAAGAAACGACCACTGCACGATATACACAAGGCCGGGACAAGCCAATCAAAGGGAGCGGGTACTGCACCATCTCGTATTGACGCCCGAGTTGCGTTGCGGCCACAGCTGAACACCACGGGAGCACTTTTCATTTTTTTTTGAGAGTCAGGGCTCAACGATAAAGATTCGAGCTGGGGTTACCTACTCCCAAGACAGAGGCTACATGTTCCGAGATGAGGCTGTTGCTGACAACATATCTCGCATCCGGGGTGCGGGCAGTGTTCGCTCTGTCGATCCTGGGCAATCTACGGAGTTGCCCTTCATGAGTAAGACGGTCCGAAGGCTTCCTGTTGTTCTCTTCCTCTCCCTTTTTTTATCAGATCACGCCGTGCCTCATCAAGTTGCTGTCAAAAGTAGAGAACATGTTCAGATTGTCCTTTTTTGGCTGATTTATCCCCCAAACCGACAGTGATAACATGCAATGCCAGCAATTCCCTTTTTTGCCTCCTTCCTAGAGCATGCCTTTGTGAATCGAGCTGTTGTATCGTCCCCTAACGTGACAGAGGCTGCAAGTTCCTCAAATCTTGAAGTGGTTTGCGCCTGGCCGGTTTCCGGTCAATATGGTCCGGGGACCCGAGTCTTGTAGGTATCTCCATAAAGCGATAGGCAGTGCTATCACGAACTACTGACACACACGTCAGATATTATGTCTTGATTGCAGCTTGTGTGGTCGCTCGCAAAGTAGAATGGATTCGGAACGCTTGTCTGGCCGCTGTGTTACTTTTCCCCGCTGTCGCGGCTCTTCACGGGATTGTGCTCGCTGTGCTTCACGTTGATGGTGAGTCTGATGACCCGTTGGCCGCGGGTTCTTGTTTCTCGGCTGGTCTGACGTCTGAGAATAATCACGGAATCTAATCTTCGATAGGCGCTGTCGATATGGATGTCTATGGAGCATTCCAGCTGTGTGCTATCGGCATCTTAGCCGCCCCAGCAACCGTCAGGCTCTCACAAACCTACTTCAACAACCCCGGGCGGAATATTATCTTTCTGTGGACATTACTTCTACTAGCTGGGTTAGTAAGCCTGATTGTGGAGTTTATGCGCCTCAGCCCTACCATTTGCCCCGGTGACGACCCGGCAAGCATTTTCTGGGCCTCAACGGGGGGCGCAAAAGAGGGCCTGTTTCAATATGGCTCCAACTGTAGCATGGCCTGTACCCCGGGGAATGGGCCCGTCTCACCGTTGCGACTTGACGCAGCCAACAACGTCTATGTGATTCCAGTGCCTCATGAGCTGTCGTTCAATACTACCACGCTCATTGCGGCTGCATGCTGTATTCCTGCTATCTTGTCATTGATGTTCATGTGGATCAAGGTTTTGGACGATAACTGGGAGAAGTTCGCAAAAGGAAAGCCTAAGCAGAAACCAGACGAACTTATTCAGGGAACTAACGGAGCTACCATCAACCACATGACTAGGATTGCCAATAAGATCAGCAAATGGTTAGCTCTCATTGAGATCCCGGTATTTGCTGCAGCAGTGTTGGCAATTCTCGTCAAGGGTGAAATGAATTTCTGGAGCACGCCAATGAGGTATCAAACAGAGCCCATACAAAGTATTGGTAAGCAACAGGTGTCCCTTGTCTCATGCTGGCTATTGAATAACGCACATTTCACCAAGTCATTAACCGATCGATCCTCAGGTCAATGGGCGCCAATCGTTGGTACGGCACTTGCCGTGTTGGGATCACTGTATATGCTTCTCTCTGAGGATATGGAAGCCGCTGGAAAAGAAGATGGGCATCAAGAAGTAAATCTTGCGGGAAACGATCTAAGTGACGAGTGTGCTGTCTTAGATACCGGCAGCAGTGTTCGGCGAGACCCTAGAACAAGTGCTGAGAGACCGAATCCCGATCTGGAAATGACACCCGTCCACTACCCTACTACCAACCAAAACATTACCACCCAGCCCGATCTAGGAAGACGAAAGGTTGCCCGCTTCTTTAATGCAGCAAGTGCCTTAATGACCACCAAAGCCCATAACCAAATCGTGAAAACGGGATTTAAACCCGAGGCGAAAACAACTTACCCAGAGACCCCAGGAGAGAGATACAAAAACTCAGATCTCCAAAAACAAATCGACAAGTACAAAAGGTCATCTAAACCCGATACCCGATCACGAATTGGAAGCAGCAGTGGCTTCGTGGACAATGGTGAAGGCAGCTCAAGGAGACCACGGAGTCCAACGCGGCATTCAGTGCCTGCCCCAGCTGTTTCACGGCCAAAGTCCCGTCAAATTCACTCGAATTCGCTTCCAAGCAGAGGATTAGGATTCTTTGAAGAATCAACCTTGAAGTGTCCTCCTGCGTCCGCGTCTGCGGGGTGGCAACAACAGTTGAACCCGTTCGATTCAACGCCAATCTTACGAAGTAGAGCACCATCTATTTCCGAGACCAGCCCCAAAGCTTCATCGCCCGGGCTTCAGATTCCGTCGGAGATAGTGGTCTCCGCCCATGAACGTAAATGATTCCTTGTTCTATAGTATTTTGGGGCCCCGGAGTTTCCAATGGCGTGGATGACATACAGTTCTGGGGGACCATGGCAGTGAATATCATTTCTTCCTAATCCTCGACCTTTTCGGACAGGTATTTTTTTTTTTCAATCTGATCGGACCTATTTTCTCTCTTTGGTCATTCACTACTTGCGTGATATGAATCTTGGTGCTTCCAGGCAATGCCTGGCAATTGGAAACGGGCAGGAAAGAGGCATAGAGAGTCCGCTTTATTTATGAATTTGCTATGACAATACCTGGTATACAGACACTATTGAATCGAAGAAATGTTCATCAAAAACAAAATCAACCCATGAAATCGCAAAGCTGGCTAGCCTAGTGCTGAGTCCTAGCAAAACACGCGCCGTGGCAACATCGAACATCCGTTCGGTCTACTCCCGGCCGACCCAATCCCAGAAACAGTCCCATCCCAGCAACCCCCGTTGCTCTACGCTTCGGGCTTCGAGTACCTAATCTAGGATAAATAAGGCTATGTAAAGAAAAGCTATTCAGATGGCAAACAATACGGAAATGTGCATTGGCAGTTGTTACTTCCAGAATTAACTGTATCAACTACCAAATGATCAGTTATGACCTTTCACGCCTCAAGCTCCTTTCTTCGCTCAAATTTGGCCCGATATGCTATCTTTGAGATTAAGGTTGCCATTCCAACATGATCGCAGTCAATGCGAGGCTCCCTTTCCAACAAGATACCACCCTCCTTCTTATCGCGCCTTGAGTAGTCGAAAGCCTTCGGCTCATCACAGTTGTATTGTGCATTAGCGGTACGAAGAAGGCAAATCTCGTTTTTCATGCAGTCGTCATTGCAGCTCTCGACTTCGAACCCGCGGACACGTCTCGCCCAGTAATCTTGGAAAACGGTCGGGTCGCGTTCCATGGCGACAGTGACATTGTGCCAGAAAGCCGGACTAATCTCAGCTTTGGGATCAGTGAGCGGAGGAATGATCTTGGATCCATAGTCTGCTTTGGCGGAGTAGTAAGGCACCCATTTTGGCTTCGTCTGGAAGGATGGGTCGCTGATGTTGGCAATATACTGAGTATAGTCTAGGACGCCGAAGGTGACTGGATCAATCTCGTAGACGCGGAAAGAGGGTGAGCCCTCCGTTGGCGTCACCGCTGGAGCCACATAACCCATGGCAGTGGCTGTGTCCCAGTCTCGGTTGTTGTAGTTGGAGTATGCGATCTGGAACCCATCCCGGTGCGTATGGCCATAGAAAAGTCCCGCAATAGTGGTCTCGTACCGCTGCACAATCTGGTCAAAGTAGTCGGAGTGGTCGCGAAAGTGATCAGGTACACCGGATGGGATGTGAGAGATTAGCCATGCGCGTTGGCCTGCATCCTCGGCGGCCTGCAGCTCCTGGATAAGCCATTCAAATTGACCGCGTGGGTCTTTCTCCATAGGTTCCTGATACATGTAGAAATTGTATATGTAGTAGAAGATGCTGTTGTAGGAAATGATGCGCAGATTGCTGTTGGGGTGGACGGCTGAGTACGAGGCAAATTGATCTGCAGATTTCACGGAAGGAACGCCCGTGAGTCCGTACCAATCTTCTGCAAGAGCCTCATACGTCCATTGGGGATTGGCTTCACTCAAAGAATCCGGAGGAAAGAGATTGAGTGGTGCGGTGTCATGGTTTCCTATGGCAGCGTACACCGTGCCGATGTCTTTTTCCATTGCACTGTATGTGGCATTGAGACCTTTCAACGCTTCAGCCTCGTCAACCAACCAGATATCATGAGCCACCACATCACCGGTGTAAACAGAAAACGCTGGATTGATGTCTGCGATAGCAGAATGCAAACTGTCTTGCAGTATTTGTGGCGGGTCACACTTTGTATTTCCAAATAGTCCACATGGGTGTTCTGTGTTCCCCGGTGCGTACTTATCCGACCAAGTTCTACAACAGATAGGCTTGGAGCATTCGTAGCTGGACCCAGGCTCGTAGAGGAGATCCACATGAGTATCACTGAAGTGGACAACCTTGAGCGGTGTCTTGCCACTGGGTGGCGGTCTCGCAGTCGTTGGCTTGGGTGAAGGGAATGTCCAAGTCCAGGGACTAACAGCAGGGTGCTTGCAGAGCCCGACCAAACTAGCGCAAAGTGTCTTGGAGGCATCGGAGTTAAGATGTAAAGCTTTGAAAGCATCATGAAGCGCAGGTCCTTCTTTTTCAATGACGCCAGTGCAGACATCTGGGTCTTCGACCTATGTATTTGGAATTAATGGAATTGAGCCAGTAGGCTCATGAAAATTACCAACGTACCCTGCTGATTTTGCACAGCCCGATGAACACTTCGATCAGGAAATTCTCACCAAGCCCCGCGGCAACTTTGATACCACCGAGGAGAACCTGTAGAAAGCATATAGTCTGTCAGGTATAGATCTTTAAAGTAGAGGCAGTGCTGAATGCAAGCCTACCTGGCAAGCCCCGCAGTCCACCGCATTTTTGAAGTCGTCCCAGATGGAAGCGATGGACTCCTCAACTTGAGTCTCGGCTTGTACCCCCCGGGGAGACGCCGAAAGCCCAAACACCAGCAGCAAGGTGCTGAGTCTCATCTCGACGAGGACTGACTGGACGAATTGGCTTTTTGACAAAGACGACCTTGGAAGCAGTCAGGGCACTCTGTATCTTCCCACTGTTGATGCAAACTCCGGGGTGGTTGACTTCTTAAGTATCACGGGCCAAGAGCAGCCGGGCAGATCGCGGATTACTTTGTCAGATATAAGATGATCCCACGTTTCGCTTAACACGATTGAACTCAAGACCTGCAGCTACACACTCACATAGCGAACATTTGTTCGGTTCTGACATGACCTCGGGACAACCTTTTACCATGTGATGAGCAGCAGAGTAGCATTCAGGATTTCCCTCGAAATGTGTATGTTGTAGTCGGTATATTTAATCACCACGCATAAGGCAGATGTGACGAAGAGAATGCTACAATGAAACGAGTAGCAGCGGGAATTATTAACAGAACATCGGTCGACCTATAGGGGTTCTCACGACTACATGCTGAAATGGGAATCGCAACCAAAGAACTACCAGGTAGTTCCTTGTAACATTGCAAAGCCGCTGACCTTAGGGGCTGATAGGCATACGCCGTTGAGGTCTTCTTGGCATGTTCGCATCTACTGGGCAACCCTCGATCCTTAAAATCGATCCTGAAAAAAGGAGTTGTCGCGGTGTTCAAACGAAACTAGAGTAGCAGGACATAGGCCAACAATCAGCATGTATAGTACACAAAACTCATCCAGCGATAGTCAAGATCATGATTGGATGCGCCGGTCGATCGTACCACTCGTTGTACCCGCCAAGCTCGGTGCCTGCAGAATTTGCGAAAAGATACCTTGGCGAATGGTTGTCCCGAACGGAGAACTGCAGGACGTTGATCTGGGGTAGAGGGTCACTTTTCTTTACTCTAGTCTTTTGCTTAGGTCTTAGGAGTGGGGTGAGCTGCATCTTTTGGCCTGATAGATCACTCTACAAACTGGAATTAGATCACTGTCGATCGCAAATATCCCAGAATCGTCAGTCTCATGCGAGAGTTCACATCCTAAATCCCACAGCACAGCCTCGCAGCACCCGCACATCTATAATGCAATCACTACTACGTGTGTCCATGCGTGAAACTTGAGAACTCGGGAAGATGGAAGGGCTCATGCGCAGGGACCGTGATCGATGAATTCCCTATATATGTTGTAGGCACAGACCAACACTTCCCCTGACAGAGTGACACATTTATGCTGTAGATGAGGGATCATAACACCGCGTCATCCGCATCATATCACATCTAGCTCCAACTGGCTGTTGCCTTGTCATGCGCTGTGGGTCTCGCTTTCGTCTGTTGTGCCAGGATTTTCATTGGGTGAGACATGTGGAGTTCTTCATGATGGGAGTGAAAAAGTACTTGATGATGATGATGATGATGATG